AGTCGAACAAATTCGTTTCCAGGAGGCTTTCAAGAAGGCTGAAAGAGGCTTTGAGCCTCTTCATCCCCCCTTATATTAGTCGAACAAATTCGTTTCCAGGAAGCTTTCAAGAAGGCTGAAAGAGGCTTTGAGCCTTTTCATCCCCCCTTATATTAGTCGAACAAATTCGTTTCCAGGAGGCTTTCAGGAAGGCTGAAAGAGGCTTTGAGCCTCGTCATCCCCCCTTATATTAGTCGAACAAATTCGTTTGCAGGAGGCTTTCAAGAAGGCTGAAAGAGGCTTTGAGCCTCTTCATCACCCCTTATATTAGTCGAACAAATTCGTTTCCAGGAGGCTTTCAAGAAGGCTGAAAGATGCTTTCAGCCTCTTCATCCCCCTTATATTAGTCGAACAAATTCGTTTCCATGAGGCTTTCAAGAAGGCTGAAAGAGGCTTTGAGCCTCTTCATCCCCCCTTATATTAGTCGAACAAATTCGTTTCCAGGAGGCTTTCAAGAAGGCTGAAAGAGGCTTTGAGCCTCTTCATCCCCCCTTATATTAGTCGAACAAATTCGTTCCAGGAGGCTTTCAAGAAGGCTGAAAGAGGCTTTGAGCCTCTTCATCCCCCCTTATATTAGTCGAACAAATTCGTTTCCAGGCAGAGCCTAGGGGATGGCCTCAGCAGAGCTTAGGGGCCTAGGCCAGGCTCCAGGCCATCCCTCCCTGACCATCCCCTACCCTCTGCCTAGGCCATCCGCTAATAGCCCCTAGGCTCTGCCTACTCTGTCTGGGCTCTGCCTAGGCCAGGCCCCAGGCCATCCCTTAGGCTCTGTCGATCACACCTTCCGCTAGGCTCTGCCCTGACCATCCCCTACCCTCTGCCTGAGCCATCCGCTAAGGCTCTGCAGCCCCTAAGCTCTGCCTTGGCTATAGGCCTAGCGGCATGCATATATAGTTCACAACATCACAATCTACAGGAGGCACACATACAAAGGGCCCGATGATCGCGACGAAATCTATACATGCGAAAGATTCAAAACTAGTCGTCTTAGCAATTGTTTCACAGATTGCAGTGCCGCACATGCCAGATAATGCCTCAGCATGCTCGTTTTGGATGCCCCACCAGGCTGAGCTTGATCTCAAATTTCAAGATCAGGTCGTCGCATACATGTGTATAAAGCTTATCGCCCCATGGCTTTTTGGGTTCAGTGGGATGCACATTGGTATTTATGTATAGGTCATTGGGTCCTCTCCCGGGTCATTTGTATGATTCTGCTGCTTGTTCTGAGGAACTAAGCCATCGGTGCGGATGGTGGCTGCGGACATTGGCATCGGATTCATATAGGGAAACATATAATAATTATAAGGTTAGGGGTTGGTACACCGAAGACCTAGACCCTAAACCCAAAACCCACTGGGCTTTAAGCATGAACGCGAAAATTGTAATGCAATCCATCATGGTCCTCGGGACTTCAGATCCTGTGGGAAAGAGAAACTTAAACTACCAAACCCCAATCCTGAAAACAAGGAAACTTCAAACTCGAGCACCAATATGAAAGCCAGGCCCCATCCAGCCCTGTAGCCCTAAACCCAAAACCCACTGGGCTTCAAGCCTGAAAATTTCAGAAGCCAGCAACAATCCATCATGGTCCTCGGGTCTGCAGATCCTATGGGAATGAGAAAAGTTACTAAACCGGTGCGAGTTGGTTTGCGAATGGACGAACGGTTCCTGGCTCTCGGCATGCGGCTGACTCATTGATTGGACTGAAAGCATGGCTGCTAGTGACGTTAGCGAATGTCATTCACTCATGTTGAGCTGCTGCTGACATGAGTGCCGCATGCTTGCTCCGGTAGTGACTGATCACAGCTTCAGAGGCAGCCCCAGCAGCAGGTCGTAAGCTAAATTGCAGCTAGCAGCTAAATTTATATGATTCGTCTTTCCTTGGCAGGCAGCACCTTGAATTCCGATCGATGGTCCATAGGCCAGAGCTGAGTGATTGGGTGTTTCGACATTCGACGTACTTTTGATTCTCTATGGACTCTGGACCTTTGTGGGGGAGAAGTCAGGGAGCCAGGGAGTTAGGGAGCGATGAGTGACGGAAGCCTCTTTAAGCCTCTTTAAGCCTTTAAGACTTTAAGACTTTAAGATCTTAAGTCAGCCTTAAGCCTTCAGCTTAAGCCTTAAGTCTTAAGCCAAGCTTTAAGCCTTTAAGCCTTTAAGCCTTTAAGCCTTTAAGCCCTTAAGCCTTTAAGCCTTTAAGCCTTTAAGCCTTGAGCCTTAAGCCTTAAGCTTAGCCCGGGTCCTATGAGGGCTGTTGATGTGGTCCACACAGATGTTCATAAGTCATAACCTACTGCAGAAGTACGTATGACATGTTCCCTCCTGCGTCCGTTGTTCCATCAGATGCCAACGTCTTTCATATCGCTGGCTTTGGCTTAGGTCACAGTCACAGCATGCACATAAGACATGGTCATCGGCAGTCATCGGCTTTCAATGTGCAGTGTCAAGACAGGCTACAGCTTGAAACTTCTGAAGGCTGTAGATTTGTAGATCTGTAAGAAAAGAAGTGACATCGCCGTGCGAGGGTTGATGGTTTCTTGTGGCGACTCCTGCTGAGTGTTGCAGTTGCCAAGACCACTGGGACTGCTCGTGACTGCTCCTTGCCTTATCAATTCGATCCTGAACAACAAGTTCAATGGAGGCAGATGGTGGTAGTGGTGGCATGACCTCTACTACGTCTACCGACGGGCTGCAGAACAACCAGCTAGGCCTCATGCAAGCCGCTAGTCACTGCTAGTCCGAAGGTCCGAAGTTTGCCCCACACCCTGCCCCTCAACTAACATAACTTAACTAACTAGTAACTATACTATAATAATTTAATATAACATTATAATAATATAATAACTGTTAATAACTATAACTATAAATAACTATAATTATCTGAAACTCAACTAACGTAACTTAACTAAACAAAACTAACTAAAGCATCGTTCGTTTAGGGCAGTTTAGGTTTAGGACGAAATGAAATAAGGAGCCAGACGCTCATCTAGACGATGGTGGCGCGACCTCGGCTACCTCCTTCTGCCTCATGCCAGCCGGGCTGCCCATCAAACGGCTTCCTCACGCAGCCCTCCCGCAAGCCGCGGGACCCGCACCCTGGCCCTCAACGAACTAAACTAACTAGTAACACTAGTCACTAGTCGCATTTGTCATTAGTCACTAGTCACTAGTCACTAGTAACTAACTAACCGACTTTAACTAAATGTAACTAAACTAAACCCTCGTTCGATTAGGGTTCAGGACCGAACTCATAAGGCCTAAAGTCTAAAGTTCTAAATTCTAAAGTTACTAAAGAGTCCTAAAGCGAGTGGATGGATATGACGACATAATGACTTTAAGTTTAAGGGGTTTGTTTAGGGGCATACTGTGATATTATTTCTTTTTAAAAGTACTAGTTAATAAAAAAGCCGGGCATCAGGCAGCATCTTATTCGCATCGTCAACATTCTGGACAGCATTGGTCGTGACCTCCTTGTTCTCCTGGTAGGGGATAAACAACAACAAGAATCAGGGTTCATGGGTTTGGGGTCACGGGTTTACGTTTTAGGGTTGAGGGTTTTGGGTTCAGGCTGTAGGCTAATTAATTATTACTGACTTTACTTTCTTTAATTTAATGAAAGGGTATATCACGGTTTCAGTGCCCAATCCTGCTTGTTCTGGTCGGCCGGGTCAACTCGCTGCTTCTTTGTTGCCGGGTTCTCTTCATCAGCTTTCGCCAGCCATCTGGAATGCGTAGCCACGACATTAGCCTGGATGCAGTATGCATGAGGGTTCTATACACATACATATGGGATTTCTATATAGGGGTTCCTTTATACAGGGTTCCTTCCCCCCAAATACATGTGAGGTTCCTTGACATAGGCTTCCTTCCCCCTTATAAAATGTATCCAAGAAATCCTGAACCCTATACAAATCCTATACTTCAATTTATAGTAGGATCCCAAAACTATTCCTTAATTAAGGGATTATCTGGGGCAGAGCTTCGGCTGCAATTGGTTGGCCGTGCAGCACTGGAAAGTGACAGTTGCACTGAAGCGTGACTGGCCGGCTGCTTGCCCTGGCTGAAGGAAGAACATGCCATGCCACGAGAAAGCAAAACATGAAAGTTCATGTTTTGCAGGATGTAGGCTGTCCAGGTCAGCTACTGAAGTCTACTACCGGGACCACAACTAACTAAGGAAGAATGTGCTTTTGCAGGATGTAGGCTGTCAAGGTCAGCTACTGAAGTCTATTGCCGGGACCACAACTAAACTACACCCTAAAGGTTGCATCGGGACCACAACTACACCCTAAAGGTTGCATCTGAGCTGTCCAAGCCAATGGCGTGCGTCGGCGGCGCCGGAGGCGCCGGAGGTGGCCCCGGCGGTGGGTTTGGCGGTGGCCCCGGCGGTGGCCCCGGCGGACCACCCCGGCCAGTCGGCTGGGGCTTCTATTCGTCCGGAAAGTGCGGCTGACACGCTTGATTTACACTACGTCACTAGTCGTAACTTATTCATGAGACCTTCTCCATGCCAGGAATTGTTTGGCGGGGGAGAAGAGAGCCTCTCGACGCAGCAAAGAAAGGGACGATGAGGCAGGGTTCCTTTGATGCATCCGAGCCCGTATCAAGTTCAGAGTCGTTGCCTGGCCACAGGTCGCACACATGGCCAGGCTGGAAGTGCAGAATGAGCACCTGCAGGAGCACCGAAAGGTGTCACCCCCAAGCAAAAACAAGCAACAACACGCCCGGCATGCAACCCCCCAAGAAAGCTATGCACCGAAAGGTGTGTCAGCACGGCACAACGCTCCCAACACTGAAAGAAGTGGACAGCCTTGACCTCCTGACAGGACCGGTTGGAGGAGGTCACCAAGGAGAGGGATCAGACCCTCCAGGCCATGAACGCGGTCAATGGCCCAGATCGAACGTAGTAAGTTTAAGAGCAGCAAACTTGAACGGGTTTCTGTAAGCCTTGCAGTCATGAGGCGATCAGCAGCAGCATCCTGCAGCAAGGCTTCTACAACAACATCAAAGGCCGGCACATGATCATGCCTACTGAAATACAAAATCCCCTGTCTGCAGGCCACTACGCGGCCTTACACGAGGTGTGGCGCTTGGGCCTGTCCGGCTTCAACGCGGTTGCTCCGGAACGGCTGTTCACCGACGTTGGAAGCCAAGGCGGGGACGGATCGGATTGATACTTGTGCTGATTGCTGCTTGCTGTTATCGTTTCTCTGAACGGTGGCTCCAGCAGTACCGACTGCACTCTCTGCAGGAGGTGGTTGAGAACACGTGCTGATTGCTAGTAGCCTAGATATCTGTCTTCCGAACAGGCATTGGCTTCCTGGTCCCCGTGCCGATGGTGCCAGGACTCCCTGCAGGTGGTTGGGAAGAAGTGCTGACCGTTGATTGCTGCTACTTTTCATTTATGTTCTCCCGAACAGGCATGATGCCAAGGCCAGTAGCTCCCGGCGCAGGCGGGGCTTGGAATTGGCAGCGACGATCATTTTTCCGAGTCAATGTTCCGAACAGGACAGCAGATGGTTCCACCTGGAGGTGTGGCCGAGGCTGTTAGCGACGATCTTACTTTGGATTCAATAAATGTTCCGAACAGGCTGTCCCATGATGCCACCTGGAGGTGCATGTGGCCGGGACTAATAAGTTCATTGTTTGTTTTTTTGTTTTCCCGAACAGGCCCGATGCCAAGGCCAGCTGGTGTGGACGCAGGTGGGGCTTCAAAGTGGCAGTGACGATCTTTTTTCCGAGTCAATGTTCCGAACAGGACAGCAGATGGTTCCACCTGGAGGTGTGGCCGGGACTGTTAGCGACGATCTTACTTTAGATTCAATGTTCTGAACAGGACAGCCCATGGTTCCACCTGGAGGTGTGGCCGGGACTGTTAGCGACGATCTTACTTTAGATTCAATGCTCCGAACAGGACAGCCCATGATGCCACCCAGAGGTGCACGTGGCCGGGAATAATAATTTCATTGTTCGTTTTTTCTCTCGAACAGGCCCAATGCCATGCGGCGCAGGACAGCCCATGGTGTCGCCTGGAGGTGTGGCCGGGAGTAATAATTTCATCGTTTGGTTTATCAGATGCCAGGGCCAGCTGCAGCTGCAGTAGCTCCGGGCGCAGGCGGGGCTTGGAATTGGCAGCGACGATATTTTTTCAGAGTCAGTGTTCCGAACAGGACTGAACGTGGCGCCAGCTGGAGGTGTGAGCGGGACTGATAATTGTTTGTTGTTTCTTGTTCTTCCGAACAGGACCGATGCCAAGGCCTTGCGCAGGTGGGGCTTGGAACCGGCAGTATAGCTGCTGTTCTCATTTCATTTGCTGCGATGCTAATGCTGCGATCAGGCGCCATGGGGGTTCCGCCAGGTTCGGGTCCCGGTTTTTGCTGTGATTGCAGCTGCTGTTACTGCGGTCACAGTTCAGAATCACAACCATATCTCTTTACTAGATCTCTGTTTATCCGAACAGGCAACCCGCCTGCATATCCAGCGGATCGAGGTCGGGGTTTTTTTTACCATCACTTCTGCGATCGGGTTCCGTCTGCTGTTGTTGTATACTCCTTCATTGGAATCAGCTCTGCTGACAGGCCCACCACCGCCCCCTCCCCCAGGTGTGGACGGGAACTGGCACTGCATGTTGCTCTTGTGGTTGCGATGTCCGATCAGTTGAGCCTGGGCCGCGACCGCTGCGGCCCGAAGAGCCTGGACCACGGCCGCGACCGCTGCGGCCCGAAGGCTGGGAGCTAGCACGGAGTGCTTCGATGGCATTAGCTGCTATCATTCGTTCTGATATTCCCAACATATCCTGACATGTTCCGTTGGCAGGCCCTCCGCAGGCCCACGGTAAAGGCAGGGAGCACAGCAGGGAAAGCATCAGAAGCGTAAGGCCGGCATGTTGGCTGCATGCACTTATTCCTGTTTGCAGGGCCGGGAAAGGGCGACCGTTTTGAAAGCCGGGGGCACAGCAGCAAGCATACGCTTCCTGTTGACAGCTTCCGGAAAAATCGGCGGACAGGGGAGCACCCATGGCAAAGGGAAGCTCGGCGGCAACGTGAAGCAGTCGGAGTCCAAGAGGGCTGTGTCAGAGCACGTGGCAGCGTGCATAATTTCGTGGAAAGGCGGTCCGCTTCGGATCCTTCAACTCAGCCCCAGCCTCGGTTCCTGGAATCAGTTGATACAGCGGCCTACATAGCCCAAGTCCTGTGCAGGATTCAGAGGAAGATCCGGCCAGGGCCCAAGCGCAATAGATCCTGGTCTTCTGAAGTTGAGCCAGCGAAGCTCCTTTTCTTAATTGTGACCAAAGGCTCCAAAGTCACGGCCAAGCTCGGCTGGGAGCTCGTTTGTCAGGCTTCTTCGCCGAGGCTTGCGTTCTTTTGCCCATCCTTGTCTACCTGAGGCATCCCATGCAGCCGACCGTGGCCTGGCTCCGAAAGCTGGGAGCTCGCTTACAGTTGGTATTTCTTTGAAGTCAAGTCTCAGTGCCAGAATCCGGTGTGGGGGGCAATGAAGCTGGCATGTAGTTCATTAGTGGCTGACCTTGCCCGTCCTCTGAAGACGGGAACGAAAGGTGCCTCTGTGTTGTCGTGAAAGCATCATCTTAGAGGGAGGGCACTTTCCAAGAAACATGTGCCATCTTTTGGATATAGGCTATATTTGTGCTTCGGGGTCTCGCAGGGTTTATAAAAGGATTTATATACTATATAGGTGTAAAACACTTTGCAACCCTAGTTAAGAATAAGGCCGAAGTCACGAGGCCTGTATAATCTAAGTACTATATAAAAAGCTTTTATAAGCCCCGAACCGGGAGCTCCAAATTCCGATATAGACTCTCTCTCTCTCTCTCTCTCTCTCTCTCTCGCTCTCTCTCTATATATACCCTAATATATAAGCCCATGCGAAACCCTATATATATATATATATATATATATATATATCAACCGTATTGTAAAACATACAAAACCTCTTCCAGGCAAAGGGCCTGCTCCTCGTCACTGTCGTCCACCACCATCGGCCGTTCCGCCGCTGCTTCCTGCATGAGCTCGTGGAAGACATCCTGCACGGGGCATGGCAGCAATATAGTGGCAAGGACGGAGGATGCTAATACAGCAATCCCTTATTATAAGGGTTTATAATTCGGGTTTGTAGGATTGCGGGTATCGTGGAGGTTCATATAGGTGTGTATATAGGGTGTATATATGGGACTCACGAGCTGTTTGTACACCAGGTTGTGGGGTTTGCAGTGCTGACTTCGAAAGAGCTCAGCTACAGTTTTTGCGGCTTCCTTGCGTCTATATTCTAGTACTATAGAGTAGGTATAACCCTATATAATCCCTCTCTCTCTACATACATATATATTTATATATAACCATAGTATATATAGTTCCCCGTGATACCCGACAAGTAGGATAAATAATAGTATAACACCTATATACCTAGGCAGGGCTCGAGGATATCATCTATATAGGATCTATATAAAAGGCAGTTATATATATATATATATCCGCATAAACACCGGCACCCTTAGAAACCTAAATGGCCAGGAGAGACTCGCAAGACCTGTCTTATTAGATGAGGTTCGATCTGGGTTTCACCTAGTTTGTAAATCTACATCATGTATTGCAACTATATTACCCAAGACCCCGACCAGGGAGCCTTCCTATATTTAAGGTCCAGCGATGCATGCATCTTTTTCAAGCCCGGCGTCGAGCACACTCTGCGAGCAATCCCACCATACTGGCCATTGCACGTGCCTTGGATGGCCTTTACACAAGCCCCATGCAGGCAAATCTCGCGACCTTTATTTTCGGAATTATATATAGGGTATCAAGAATGCAGGGTTATACTTAGGGTTTCAAGGTCTTGGTTTGGGTTATCGGTTGTCCATGGGGTTGTGCAAGACATGCAAGAGGCCAAGCAGTCTCTGCACCATGCCCGCCGCATCATCGGCCTTGGATAACCCAATATATATATATATATATATACACATATAGAGAGAGCGAAACTGAGTATTATATAACTATAGTTATAATATATATATATATATATATCCTATTTTAATTAGCCGAGCCTCCTGTGGAGGTGTGCTTTGAGGGCCGTCCGCATCATTTTCACTTAGCTCTTGATCCGAGGCCTTAGAAAGCAATATTTTACTTAAAAGGTATAGGCATCCATATAGGCATATATATATATATATTATTCTATATTTCCTACTTTATCATAGCCAAGGCTCATCTGCAGCTGGGCTCTGATCATCTTGTGCACATAGCTCGTCATCGGAGGCCTTAGAACAAATTGTATATATATATATATATAGATATACATATATATATATATATATATTATTCTATATTTCCTACTTTATAATAGCCAAGGCTCATCTGCAGCTGGGCTCTGATCATCCTGTGCGCATAGCTCCTCATCGGAGGCCTTAGACAAATACTTGTATATATATATATATTATTCTATATTTCCTACTTTATCATAGCCAAGGCTCATCTGCAGCTGGGCTCTGATCATCCTGTGCACATAGCTCTGAATCGGAGGCCTTAGACAAATAATTGCATATATATATATATTGTTCTATATTTCCTACTTTATAATAGCCAAGGCTCGTCTGCAGCTGGGCTCTGACCATCATTTGCACGTAGCTCTTCATCGGAGACCTTAGACAAATAATTGTATATATATACACATATACATATAAATAAATATATATATATATATGCTCTATATTTCCTACTTTCTAATAGCCAAGGCTCATCTGCAGGTGGGATTGGATCATCATGTGCAGATAGCTCGTCATCGGAGGCCTTGGAAAAATAATTGTATATATATATATATATTATTCTATATTTCCTACTTTATCATAGCCAAGGCTCATCTGCAGCTGGGCTCTGATCATCCTGTGCACATAGCTCTGAATCGGAGGCCTTAGAAAATAATGTATTTAAAACGCATTATAAGCATGCATAGGCATTCCATATTTCCTAATGTTGACCTAGGATTAATAATCCCCCTACGATTATAAAGGCGGCCTGCGGGCGGCTCCGGCCCCAATCTGTACTACTTTATAAAGGCAGCACCCAAATAAGGATCGTTTTTTTTTGCAGAAAACCCACCACGATTAAAGGCAACACCGTCTGGGGATCTAAAATTTAAAAAAGTGCTTCGAAGACTACTTTTA